AAAATTTGCGGATATCAAAGACTCATCCTCACTCACCTCATTTGATCACTTTAGATTCATACAATTGCGCAGCTTTGCAGAGACTCCAATCATAAAACAAGCCGGCACAGCTCAACTCAATCGATTTGAAAGAGACTGCATTGCGCACCCCAACAGACAAGGACAAATTTCCAACATATACGCAACCTTAGCGACCCACCACACACAACTGTCTCTCCCATACATAGCAGCGTGGGAGGCAGACCTCGGGCCCCCAGATGAAACAACAGATTGGTCAGACATCTGGGAGGCAACGGCCTCCATCTCCATATGTGTTACACACACGGAACAAGCCTACAAAATGCTATTCCGTTGGTACCTCACCCCCCAACGCCTGGCCATCATGCACCAAATACCAACCAACACTTGCTGGAAACAATGCGGAGAGACGGGAACGTTCCTCCACTGTTGGTGGACGTGCCCGAAACTCCAACCACTTTGGCAAGACACCACACGCCTAATCTCCAAATTAATAGACAAACCTTGCCCCGTAGACCCTTGGATGCTCCTACTCTCCAAGCCAATAGACCAATACACTAGAGCTGAAAATAAGCTATCCGCCCGCATAGCCCTAGCAACACGTAGAGCCATAGCAGAAGTCTGGTCAACAAACCGCATACCGACACAAGAAACAATAACCAAGAAGATAATAGATAGCATGCAAATGGATAGGCTCACAGCACAAATTCACGACTCGCCCAAAAAATTCCACAAAATATGGGACCCATGGCTGGAGGGAGACACGACCATCCCGTGGTAACACGGCGGGATATTAACTGCCCCCTCCTAACATAGAGATCCCCCAATAGAGGATATCACTTACCTCCCAAACAGAACAACCCTCACCTAACCACATAGCCCCAAACACTAACCTGGGACCCCCGAGAGGGACCCGCACGCTGGGTGGCCCGCGGACCGCGAATCCTCCCCCCCATGCCCACACCGTCCTATTCCACAACCCTAACCCTAAACCACTCCTCGACTCGGACAAGATTGTGCCTATACATAACGAGACAAGACTCACAAAGAGTCGACGAGAGACAAAACCTGTCCCTTAAGAACGCAGAAATGACAGGGAACTTAACTTAGCGTTCAAGGAAGACATAATGCTAATACCATGTTGATACGTATGTAAGCAATTTCCAATATGCAACAGTACCCTGCGTTGGTACGGACATTAAACTTGAAAGTACTATTAAGTCTTGAACAACCCCCACCCACCCCCCCTTTTTTATTTTCTGTACCCCTCTCCCCTCCCTCCTAATTTCAAGGAGAAAACCCTACAAATAAAGAATTTAAAAAAAAAAAAACCTCCTTGCAATTGATCGTTTTCATTTAACAACAACAACATCAAGGCATACGACCTATCAATAATTCTGTAATTATCTCACAATTAAAGGACCACTATAGTGCCCTTAGGGTGCCCCCACCCTCAGGGATCCCCTCCCGCCCGGTTCTGGAAAGGGGAAAGGGGTTAAAACTTACCTTTTTTCAGCGCCGGACGGGGAGCTCTCCTCTTCCGATCCTCCTCTGTTCCGCCCATTCGGCTGAATGCGCACGCGCGGCAAGAGCTGCACGCGCATTCAGCCGGTCGCATAGGAAAGCATTTACAATGCTTTCCTATGGACGCTTACGTGCTCTCACTGTGATTTTCACAGTGAGAATCACGCAAGCGCCTCTAGCGGCTGTCAATGAGACAGCCGCTAGAGGCTTTGGAGGAAGGCTTAACCCATTTATAAACACAGCAGTTTCTCTGAAACTGCTATGTTTATAAAAAAATGGGTTAACCCTAGCTGGACCTGGCACCCAGACCACTTCATTAAGCTGAAGTGGTCTGGGTGCCTAGAGTGGTCCTTTAACAAATACTACTTTCAACTTTACATCACTATAAGATTTTTTTAAATCATAAGGTTTGGTTTCTGTTTTTATCTATTCTACTGGATCAGCATTTCTTTCATAACTATAGCCTCAATTTAATAAGATTTCCAAATAGTGGAGTCTCTAGGAACAATATATAGTGTGGGGAAGATATCACAAGTCTTCCAGTGTTTGTGTCCCATGTCTCTCAGTGTGCCTAGTGTCCCCATGTATCCCAGTGTCCCCATGTATATGTCCACAACTGTCCCCATGTCTCCCCAAGTGTCTGTCTCCCAGCCAGTGTCCCCTAGTCTCCCAGTATCCCCTAGTCTCCCAGTGTCTGTGTCCTTAGTGTCCCCAAATGTTTCAGTGTCTCCATATCTCCCAGTGTCTGTGTTCATAGTGTCTCAGTGTGCCTGGTGTCCCCATGTCTCCCAGTGTCCCTATATGTCCCAGTGTCCACATGTCTATGCCCACAACTGTCCCCATGTCTCCCAGTGTCCCCAAGTGTCTGTCTCCCAGCCAGTGTCCTCTAGTCTCCCAGTGTCCCCTAGTCTCCCAGTGTCTGTGTACCCATGTCTGTGTCCCTAGTGTCTTAATGTCCCCAAATGTTTCAATGTCCCCATGTCTCCCAGTGTCTGTGTCCCTAGTGTCTCAGTGTCTCCATTTCTCCCAGTTTCCCCATGTCTCTCAGTGTCCCCAGTATCCTAGTGACATGGGGACACACTGATACATTGGGACACTGTGAGAAATGGGGACACAGACACTGGGAGACTAGGGGACTGGGCGACATGGGGACACTGACACTGTGATACATAGGGACACTGAGACACTGGGGAAACTTGCGAGACTGGGAGACAGGGAGACACTGGGAGCAATCCATCTGTACAGCAGAATCAAACTGTGAGTAGTTTGTTGGTGATTTTACAGAATTTTCTCTGATGTCACTCCTTGTGATTTACATCATGTGATGTCACGCATAACTAATTAATTATACAAATTATTAAGGCTGGTATTTTTTTCCAAGGAAGGTGGCAACCTTAACTACTCTTCACATACTCTTGCTTAAAGGAGCACTTTTGGGTCAGGAACACAATCATGTATTTCTGACCCTATTATGTTAAAACCACCACCCTGGCCCCTTCTTGCCTCCCTAAATATAGTAAAATATTACTTGTATTCAATTCTGCAGCTGCTGGCTCAGAAATGGAGGTCTGAGCAAATTACAATACTTCCCCATTGGATTGGCTGAGACTGTCAACTAGGCAGATCAGGGGCAGAGCCAGCACAAGTCCAACATAGCCTTGGCCAATCAGCATCTCCTCATAAAGATAAATTGAATCAATGTATCTCTATGAGGAAAGTTCAGTGTCTGCATGCAGAGGGTGGAGACACTGAATGACAGTGCTGCACACTAGGCAGTACTGCCCCCAGGAAGCACCTCTAGCAGCCATCTAAGGAGCGGCCAGTGGAGTTATTTTCTCTGAAAAGACAGTGTTTACTGCAAAGAGCCTGAATGGAATGATTCTACTTACCAGAACAAATACAAAAAGCTGTAGTCCCTTTAAGTTTGGAAGCTTAAGAGGGATGTATGGGAACAAAACTTGTGTGCACTGGCTGACATTAAAGTTAGTTTAGGTAATGCAGACGTTGGTCTCTTTAACACTGTGGCATGTCCCCTTTCTTCTACACTCACTACAGACACCTTTTCTCTGTCTCAGACTATATAACAGGAACTTCTGCCTGCTAGTAAGAAGGTAAGGAGACAAGTGGACCAGTGAGTGCTAGGGGACAGTCCTTAGAAAGAACTGAGTGAGCGCATCATTAGATGCATTTATGTCAAGCTCAGGGTGCTGCCTGCTTAGTATGCCCTTAGTTGGACAGCCTGCAAGATTGGCAGGCAGCCTGACATGCATTCATTCCAGGCTGACCTTCCAATTCTTTAGACAAACATGCCCCCTTTTTGGGCATGTTCTCCCCTTTTGGCAGGTCTTGTTACGTGATTCGCACCAGTGGCACACCCTTTTACCCCGCCCATTGACTTCCTGCTTCACTGGACACTACTGTTAGTTGTTATGGATTTACTTGAAAGATGAAAGCATAAATTAGAGAGAAATTAGCATAGGGAATGTGTTTTCTTATAGCTGCATCCTATGAGTTTCCCTCCAGCACCATCTCCATCAGATACATGACGCTTGGGAGTTATGGTTGTTTTAGTGTTTTTGGTCGTTAAGATTCCGTAATTAGGCCCATCATAATTGTCAGCACCAGGCCCAATGTGCTCTTAATCCGGCCCTGAATACACACACAGACTGCTGAGTACACACGCACACAGACTGCTAAGTACACACACACAGACTGCTGAGTACACACACACACACAGACTGCTGAGTACACACACACAGACAGACTGCTGAGTGTACACACACTGCATTGAGGGCTACAGTGTATGTGTTTGTGTGTGGGGTGATGTGTGTGTGTGTGGGGTGATGTGGGGTGGGGTGTGTGCAGGGGTGGGTGGGTGTGTGTGTGGGGGAGTAGTGTGTGTGGGTGGGGTGTGTGTGTGGGGGGTGATGTGTGTGTTTGTGTGGGGTGATGTGTGTGTGTTTGTGTGGGGTGATGTGGGGTGGTGTGTGTGGGTGGGGTGTGGGGTGATGTGTGTGTGTTTGTGTGTGGTGATATGTGTAGGGCAGGGGTGCTGTGTGTATGTCGTCCGCCCTCCCTCCCCACTGTTTTCTTTCCCCCCATCCCTCCCTCAGTTTTCTCCCCCCATCTCTCCCTCAGTTTCCCCCTCCCATCTCTCCCTCAGTTTCCCCCTCCCATCTCTCCCTCAGTTTTCTCCCCCCCATACCTCTCCCTCAGTTTTCTCCCCCTCATACCTCCCTCAGTTTCCCCCCTCATATCTCCCTCAGTTTCCCCCCTCATATCTCCCTCAGTTTCCCCCCTCCCATTTCTCCCTCAGTTTCCCCTCTCCCA